CTTTTCTCAAGGATTGCGTATTTTTCTCCAGTGGCCTTCTGGTTACTTGTAGAGTTGCAGGGCTCCCAGCCCATTCCCGGGGACCGCACAGCTGGAAGTTGGCCAGGTTCTCCAGGAGGAATCTCAAAAATGCAGCTGAACTTCTGTTCCCTAATTAGGCCAACTTCCCCAGTGTGAGCCCCAGCACTGTGTGGCCCAAGCTCCCCAAGGCCTCCCGCTGCCTCTCTCCTGTGTACCCCAAGTGCCTGGCTGGCAAGGCAGCACTTTTCAATTTCCTGAGATTATTTGGAGTCTTTTGATGACATCTACTCAAATAGCATTTCTAGTCCCCAGCTTTTTTAGTGGTATCCTTCCTGCTTGGCCACCTTGATTTGGATTATGGGCAAAACCTGAAAATCTCATGGAAAATAATTTTATTATCAGCTTTTCTTTTTCCTTCCATGCATTTATTTCATGCTTCAAGTGCTCCCAGGCCCATCTGAAGGTAGCAGAAGAACTGTAGGAGGGGTGTAGGTGGCTGTGAATGTCTGTCAGTATATAGCACAAGGTAAAAGCAAGTGGGTTGAGAGACGTTTACATCTTGGAAGGCTGGAAGAGGCACAGCCTTATAACTGTGGTTGTGAGAGGTTTCTACTTGGTAATCCTTTGCTGGTAGAATCAGATTGTTTTGCACTGTTTTCATGCAGAGGAGAGCAGCAACTCTTGAGACAAGGTGTCACACACTGCAGTATGACAGCTTCCCTAGCAGGTGCACATGCTACTTAGCCAGAGCTGACTGTTGTTTTAGGGAAGAGGTTCTTGTCAGCTATTAACCAAGATGAGCTGTTCCTTTGCTTGCTGTGATAGATGTCAAAATATTTGAAGCCCCCCAAGAAATGTTTCCATCTCAAAAGCCTTTTCCGTAATAAAGGGATGTCAGTGACTATGAAAAACAACATAGTGGAAGAAAAGAGAATCCAGTGTTTTCTGTTAGGCAGAAGTTCTTGGAGGAGACGCGTTACTTCTGCAGTCTGTGGATGTGATAAAGGTGGCTAGCAGAGGTGGGCCACTTTTTGCAAAAATACAAGGCTTGCATACAATTGGGAACAGATCCCTTTTTGGTATCATATGTGCTTTGAGATGTGAATAGGTTGTGAATGTTATGTAGCTGCTTAGAAGTAGCAGGGCTGTTTGACTTACAGCTCCTTAACAAGCAACAGTCAGAACTAATTACTCAGGGCTGTTTGTGGAGATCAGCTTTCCCGCAGTCAGGGAGCCTCTGGCAACTTGCTGGAGGAACGGAAGCTCGGGTCTGGCCATACACCTTTCTTTCTGCTTCATGGCCATTATTGGATGAAAAGAAGGTGCTTATGTGCCAAATAAAAATATCGCCATGTTTGTATGTGAAGGAGAACACATCTCACACATTTTAAGGAGTTGGACTGCACAAGAGAAAGATTGTGTGTCCTCTATTGTGTACTGTCAATGTCACTTGAGTCCCTGCCTCCTGCATGGAGTGCTTGCTGTTTCAAAGGAGTTGTCATGTTGATAAAGATAAATTAATCCACATTTCCAGATCCTCCTGAGAATCTGAGGGACTCAAAATGCCCATAATCTGCCTATGTCATGGTGGGTCAGAAGCATCCTAACTAACATCTTAACTAACTGGATCCTCCAGTTAGTTGCTTCCATGAGGGAAGCAACACCCTGCTAGCACCATCCAAGCTGCAGACATGAGCCGACAAGTAGCCTGGAAATTTCTGCCTTAATGAGGAAGCTGGATTAGAATCTTACATCTATCTGATAAGAAAGATCCTGAAGAAGAAGGTAGAATTTCTTCTTTAATAAAAGATAGATGGGATTCAGGTAAGCTGAGCAAGGCCAGTAGTTTTCCAAATGGGAGATAAAATCCTGATTGTGATGGTAGTATGAAAGCATTGATAAGAGTACCTGGGAAACCCTGCCTTCGGGAAAATGGCACCAAAATGAATTTCTGAGAAAAAATCAGCAGGAGATACAGAACATGGCAACATGCCTGAAAAAAAGAGAGTCTGCAGAAACTAAGATAGGGGAAATCTGGAGATAAGGAATTGACAACTCAAGCAGAAAAAGCAAGCCGTGGTGAACAAGTGATTAGTTAATGGTGTGAAACCGACTGAGCAGCAGCAGTTGAGAGAGAACTCTTTTGTCAGGAGCTGGTGGATTCTCTGTGTTCTGAACACTAAATCACTTTGGGTACATAGTTTTGTATGTAATGTATGTACGTATGTATGTAATGTTTGTATGTTATGTAATGAAACTCTTGCCTTTGATATGGCAGGTAGTACTGACAGGTTCTGATCATTTTAAAGCCCACAGTCATTTTCATCAGGAAGACGTGTTCAGGAGCACATTTGCTCCATGACAGAAGAACAGCGTCTTTCATTTCTGCTCTGCTTCCTCTGGCATTGGCGTTCTTCTCACTTTCTGTGTCAAGCTTGCTTGCAGTTGCAACTTTTCTAACTGTGACCATATTACGGCAATGCATAACATTGCATTCTCAATTGTAAATTACATTTTAGAAGTGGGAAAGGTAAGTTTATTTACTTGACAGAAGTGCTTGTGGCATGTGACCTTATTATGGCACTTTCCAGGCAACTAACAAAGAAAAACTATTTATTCTCAGCTGACAGGCAACGTTGCCTTTCCTGTTGCTAGTGTTCCTGTGGGCAGCTCAAAAAAAATTACCTGATTTATTGCAAGAGGAATAAAAGGGCTGTAGGTGTATGTGAAGTGTTTGTCAGCATCTGCCAGATATTCAGGGCTGCCTGATGCGTATGATCAATGGGAATACATTATAAAATTGGAAAGACATGGGAACCAACCCCCTAAACACAGTGGAGTCGCATCCTGTGCAAGGGCTGGGGCAGCCATTCTCACCACACTTCTATCTGAAGTGCCCGACTTTGCTCATTCTCTTGGAGCTGAAGAAGGGTTTTGGTGATGCAGGACTTAAATTGCCAGTGCACTGATGTGTCTTGGAAATGCTGTGTTTTCCCTCAGCCTTATGCCCAGGTTCTTTGGTTACATTTGTGTTCAGGAGCAAGGCCTGCTGGCTACTAGGGGAATGGTACAGGGAAAGGAGGGAGAAGGGCTGTTTGCGTGGGAAGGATCAGTGTGGGAGGGAGTGTGTTTCTGAGGTAGGGGTGTGTGTAATGGGAATAGGGATGTTTTTTTTGTGGGCACGCACGCCCATATCTGGTGTGTTTTTCCCCATTTTCCTGGGCTTTGGGTGTGTCCAGATCAACTGAATTCAAAATGCTCCTTTTTTGGCACTGTAGCCTCTTCTCTGGTTTGGCATCTTAAGAATCTGGGGAAATCATTTCAAGATCAGAAAACTCCATTCACTTGGGCCCCTGAAGGCTTCACATTCTGTGACATGGTCATTCCAGTCGACTGAGCTCTGTCCCCTGCGGATGAGCCCATATAAGGAGGCTGTTTCCTGCGTTTCACGCTCCCTGCCTGTCCCTCTGCCCTCCTGTGCTCCCTTTGCTGAAGAAAGCTGGTATTTTGGGACTGCAGCTCCTGCCTCATTCTTGCTCCCTGTTTATTTTTGGAGAATGACTATTTTTGCTCCTATCAGGGAGCTATGCAGGGTCGTGCCCCCTCCCTGCAGCAGGCAGTGGCTGCCCCTGGCAGGCTCTCTGCATTTCCCACACTCACAAACAATGCTTCTGTTTCAAGAAATAAACACAGCAGACCCCTACCATCAGAGGTTAGTTCATCCCCTTCTTCATCTGTGACAAGAGACAATTTGGCTTTGGCTCAGGTTTGACCCCACCTCACAAGCAAGCTTCCCTTGTCAGGTCAGAGATCCTCAGGAGTCACCCAGCCCATTTGCTTTCTTAATAAAAGCTTTGGGAGCTGTATGTCTTCTTTCCCTCATCCCAGATTAGACTTCTTTGCATTTACAGTGTTTTCCCCATTTTTGGACATTTTACCCCATTATCCTTTTTTTTCGGATCATTCCTTCCTGAGTCTGTTGCAGCTGGGCACCATCAACTGAAACAGACTGCCCAGGAGGTGGTGGAGTCACCATCTCTGGAAGTGTTCAAGAACCATGTAGATGGGGCACTGAGAGACATGGTTAGAGGGCACAGTGGTGATGGTTGGGCTGGATGATCTTAGCAGTCTTTTCCAACCTTTAATGATTATATGATTCTGTGATAATCAGGAGCTATATGTAAGTATTTATCCACTGGGTTCACCTTACTTCTGCTTTTGGTATTGCATGTTATGTAGAACACTGAAGCTACTGCTGCATGAGGTGCTTCAGGCAGGGGACTGGGCCCCAAACTGCAGAAGGCATTGGGCAGCTCTCACATGGTGGGCCTGGTATTTGGAAATTCCTGTTGTGAGCCCCAAGTCAAATTCTTGTTTTCTCTTGCCACGTGGCTGAGTGCCACACAAGACAAAATAGCAGGGAGTGTCTATAAGCTCTGAGTGAACTTTCCCTTTATCGTCCCAGAGGTGGTGATGGCAGGATTCATCTTGCCTAACGTTATAGGTCTTCGCTGTAGTTATCATCTGACTTCCTATTCTAGTCAGTGGAGAAAAGCAGATCTTTCTAGGGAACGATTTGTCATCTAAAATACAATGTCCAAAATGTGTGCTGACTGACTTGTGTCCCAGCAAACGTGTAAAACATAATGCTCCCAACTGAACTGTGAGCAGCAGTAGTGAAGGTATTCCCAGTGAAGCATGCTCTGGAGTGCAGCGTATCCTCTGCTTTGTCTCTTGAGCAAGTCAAAGGCACGCAGACCTGCAGCTTGTCAAGATACTGACTAAAGCAGTGTATGTCCTGCTTACATAGACATGTATAAAACTATCTTAAATATCTCTTACTTTATGAATAAGCAGTACTTTAAGCATTATCTCTCCATCTGTTTGGTAAATTGTTGCCTGTGTATGTGTGAAGCTGGTGAAAGAATTGGCTTGACAGGAGCTGGCTGTAAAATTTCTTTTTTTTTTTTTAATTAAAGGAACCACCACCTAAACCCCCACGCCGACATGGAGGCTGGGCAGTCGATCCTGTGCTGGCACCTACCAAGTGAGTACTCACTTCTTTCTTTATTAATAGGGGCTTCAGCATGGATTAACTGAATGTCACTGGTTGGGCTTTGGAATTGCAGGCACTGGAAATGTTTTTTCTGGATTTTGCAGTTAATGTCTCCAATATCCTTGTTAACTCCTTGAAACCATTTGAGGTATTGCTCTTGCTTGGTCCCACTAGCAAATGCTCTGTGCAGATTGACCTGTCTGGGCTATGAAGTGCATTTACTTTGCTGTCTGCAGAAGGCAGTATGTTCCTCACCTGGTATAGTCCATGTGGGATTCCTGGAAGGAGCCAATAAGGGTGTTAAATACCTGGGGATGGGATTTGATTGTCCACGTCCTTTCCAGGAGAGTGACACATGTCAGTGACCCACTGACAAGCGTGAAATGAACCGTTTAGCATTTAGTGATTGTCCTTGATGGTAAAGATGAAATCTGTTGATGCTTATGTGTGTATAGGTTTGTGGTATAATGGAGATGGATGGAGATGGTCCGAGAGAAGAGATGGAAGAAAAAATTATTCAAATTGTAGAATGTATGTTGAAAAGTCTGATTCTTATGAAGGACACATTAAGAGAAATACCCAGATACACTAATAGGATGGGTATCAGAACTAAGGGACAGTTCAGACCAGAAGGAGGTCTCAATCTATTTGTTATTTATCAAGCTGTAAAGTTACCTTGCTGTTACACTTGTTATTCACAGGACTGAAAGGCTCTGCCTTCGGGTGGTGTGAGATTGCTTGTGTATATTAAGGCCTTTAGTAAGAGTGTATTTGTCTGGACATGTGCTTTGGAGACACTGATCTCTGGAAAAAGTTATATATTTTCTTTCTTGGAACCTTGAGAATGGGACAGCACATCTAGAGACCTGTTACACAGTCAGTATTTCCTTGGAGCTGAGAAAGATGGTCTACATTCTAGAAAACAGTACTTTTTTGGGAAAATTATGGCTTGCTCTTTGTCTCCAAAGAATGTATCAGCCCTTTGTAGAACCAAGATGAAGCTTATGGAAATGTGATAGCAAAGAACAAGGGTGAATTGCATTGCTTAGGAAAAATAAATCATGTAATTGGTGGCTATGTGAGGGACTGGATAAGAGCTAATTCAGTTATTCAGAACTGAGCCTAATGTGCCCTGAAGGACAGTGCTCAGGTTCCTAATATGATGGCACTGTGCTATGTGCTGCTGTAGGATGTTCTCTGTGGTTTAACTTGTACCTTATCAGATAGATTTAGAGCAGTAGTTATCATCAGTGCTTCTCCAGCATCCCAATTGCATGGATAATGAATATACCAGGTGCTTGGAGTAAACACTCCTACGAGGTTGGAAGCAGAGCAGGAGCTAGAGGGCTGCAGACTTTTCTACCCATAGCACCCTGCCCACTGGGACATAAGATGAAGACGTTCCCCTTTCTCATTCATGAGTACAGTATTGTGTCATACTTGACAGTATTCTCTTCCTTTGTAGTAAGAGCTTTTATGGAATAAATTTTATGAAGAGAAGGTTTGCTCTGATGTTCTTTAGTTGTAGGAAGGATGAGGCTTTTGTACAGCTCTTCTCCTGTCATTTCTTCGCTTCAGCTGCAGATTCCTGATAGGCTGATCTCTTTTCCTTTCCCTCAGAGAAGCCTGAGATGCTGGCCTGTAAGGCTGTCCTTGTGACATATCCCAGAGTTGAACCTTCATGTGAAAAGTCTGAGTCATCGATGGGCTGATGTCATACCAATGTTGCTGTAGCTTTTTTGTTTCTGTTTTCTCAGGCTTTATCTCCCCATAGCTTTTCTACCAATTTGTCTCAGTCTGGAAGACCATCAAGTCCTTGCTCCAATTTCACTGGGATAGATATCGATACACTAGAATAACGTGCTTCTATTAACATATCTGATGCAGCCATAAAGGGCTCTTATGCCAGTGTAACTCAGCCTACACTTGCAAGTATATTGCTTTAAGTAATTTTGTTTAAGTAATTTTGAACTGACAGCAATACATTCTGTGATATTTTGCTTATGAAGTGAGGGTGAGCAGCATGACCGCAATAGGATTTTCTGTGTTGTGCAAATATATTTTGGGTCAGATGGGATACTGCAGCCACTTGGGAAAGTCTTGTGCATCATTCTCTTCCTTATTTGAGGTATAAGCTTTTAGTTCTGTTTCTGACAGATTCAGCAGTAAAACTGCAAACTTACTGCTTTCCCTGCAGGGCTGTTTTAACTCTTTTTTGCTGTATTTCTAGATCCAAGTTTTATCAGTTTGAAATGATTATTTGAAATTGTTCTCTGTGTTTCCACTGAATAACTGTTAGAGTAGAATTTAATTTGTGGCTGTTTTTCTGTTTTTCTATCTTTGCTGCTCCCTCCTCAGCCCTTACCTATCCAGCTCTTCTCATACCAAGGTGAACTTTCAAATATTTTCACCATCTTGCTGTTTCCTTCCAGTAGACTTGTGCTGTCTCAGACTATTGCAAGTTAGGAAGAGAAGGAGAGTCCAGTCTATAATTAGTTTTAAAATTAATTTGCACAGATTGTGTGCAAGGAAGAGAAAGTAATTTTGTCACGAGTTCCCATGGCGTTTACAAGTGTCAGATATTAAAGTCCCAAGAATGATCATAATGCTGTCCTTTTTTCTTGTTCTTAAAAAAACAATAATAATAATGCTAAAAGTCAAGCATGGAGCGATTACTTTGGACTCCCAGCACCTCTGTAAAACAGTTGTCATTACTAGGAGTCCCAATTTGTTGATATGGCTAATAGTGAAGACTATAGATAAGTTTCTGAGCAAACCCTCAGACTTGCCCTCTGCCGTCAGCAAATAAATGGTGCAAAGCAATGACACAGAAATCTTTTTTTGCTTACTGATGGGGTTCTCTGCAGCTGAATGTACTGTGCATTGTACAGAGAGAAAAGAGCAGTTCTCCATGAGAAGAGGCAGTCCCATTGCTGCCCCAGCAATATTCTAGTGCCAGTGTTACAGGAAAGGGGACCAGCCAAGAACCAAGGCAGCTGCTTGGAGCCTAGCACCCTGCTGACATTACATAAATGGCAGTAATTACAGATGGTTTTATGCTAGAGAAGCAACGCTCCAACCACTGGATGGAGCTCAAGTGCCATTCTGAAAACTGTACTGATGTCCTTAATAACATCAGTGTTGACATTCGTGTCAAGCAAAGCAAAGGTTTTATTGTCAGGTTATCTCATGCTTTGGAAGGAAGAAAAAGAAACACAGCATTCCTGCAAATGGGAGAAGGAAAAAAAAAGTCATTTTTGCATACTGGTGGGGACTTGACAAAGGAGAGATGTTTCAAAGACCCATTTAATTCCAGGTTCTGCTGATCTCATCTATCTGACTTTCCTTATATCCTACTTTCCTTATAGAATTTCCTTCGTTTTTCTTCCTGTAAGTATGTTTTTCATTTGTTTTTTTGATCCCATGTGTCTCCTTTCTTACACATGGATCCTGGCATTTTAGCAACAGGTGCTCCAGCCACAACTGAAATTTCTTTTTTTCTGACTGCTCAGTCATACAGAATTGGAATAATTAGGGCTTATTTAGGTGAATGACCAGAATGTTTTGGAACAGACGTGTCTAGCAGTGCCTTTCACAGGAAGATAAATATCAAGGCCCAAGAAAGAAGTGGATGCAGTTGGGATGACCTTTAGAGTGGAACGGTATTGATAACTCAACCTCTGTGTAGAAATCATTTAGGGCTCTGGAGGTTGGGCAATGGTGAGATTGCACCCTGGAGCTGGAGAAAAGTTATTTAAGAGATTAAGGTTTTTTATGATTTAAGGTCTCTAGAGCTATCTAAAGTTAAAAACCTCCTGTTTGAAGAAGATGGGCTTAAACTATCCTGTGTTGCATCTGTATGAGATGACCCTCAAGAGTGTTTTATAGAACCTCTGGCCATCCCTGTCTTGCAAGTGGGAGTAGTAAAGCGTTCACAAGTTTCTCTATCTGACATGGCAGGGAAAAGCTTGTGTCATTGTGTCTGCCCTCTACTCCCAGCCCTGCAATGCTCAGATAAATCCTGGGCTGTGCTTCCGTATGACACTGCCATGTTAGGAGCAGAGCCAAGCTCCTGGTGGTGGGGAAAACAGCAGGCTCCCTCTGCATCTTGCCTCCCTCTGTGGATGTCTTCAGTGATGTGAAGAGTACAGGTACAAAGGATCGAGGCTACCAAGTGAGGAGGCACAACTGAGAAGGAGAAGATAGAAAAGGAAGTCTGATTAAGTTTTGTCTTGAAGTGTCTGTTTTTGGGTTTGTCCCTGCATTGATCTGCAAGGGAATGAGGCAAGTAATAGCCCCTTGGGGACCTTCAGGACTTTCCTCTCAATGTCAGCCGTCATTTTCAATCACCCTCTCCCTCCCAGCCATTAATTTTGGCCCAGGATCATGGGGACTTGTCCATCTATCACTCCTAATTGACACTAAATGATCTGTCAGTTTATTGATGAACGGCAGGAGTGGAATTGTCACAATATATTTTACTTTCTAACAACTCCTCCTGACAATTTTACCTTGTCCATCTCACTCTCCTCACATAAATCTCCATTGGCCTCTCATTCCTTCTCTTGGGCTGTTCTGGTGCCAGCCGCCTCCACGCCATCGGCACGCATCAAGGACATCAAGATGGCGGTAAGCTGCAGTGTGCAGGCCTGGGGTGGGCTTTTTCTTCTCTTTCTCTCTCACTCTTTTTTTTTTTTTGTTTTAATAAGCTGGATGTTCCAGGAATGCTAACAGGCTCTTGTCCTCTTGTCCCTCCATGTCATTGCTGGGGTGAGCTCTCCTTGGTGTTTCTGTTTAGACTCAGTAAAGATAACTGGCAGAAAATTGAAACTCCCTTAAAGACAAAAGAGTCATCTGAGAGTCCCTCAGTACCATTGCTGTGATGGGGGATTTTTTCCTTTTAATCCTGTACCGTGTGACTAGCAAGGGTTTCCAGCAAAGGGAAAATGCTAGACTTATGCCCATACCTGCATCTTTGCAGTGCCCAGAGG